GGTTAGAAACAATAACAATTTGAATCACCCAAGAATCACTTACTTGAAATTTATAAGATGGGCTAAGTCAGTTTGTTTTTCTGTTAGACCTGTTTGTTCACTTCCTCTCTGAGGGTCATGTTCCATTTCTGTTTTGGTGGGATAAAATTAACAGGAAAAAAATGTCCAAAGCAAATATTTGACGCAGTGCAGTTGATTAACCAGTTTTATCATGTTTGGCGTGCTCTTCTCCGGCAGTCATTTGAAGACCTGGACTGTCCTGCTGACTCTTTAGCCTCTTTTTATCAAATCCAATTCTTCAAACATTTTTAATTCTTATTCTTAAACTATTTTCCAGAATCAAAAATCTAAACATATCTTTCTTTCTGATTATATCAACATTTACACTGATTTATTTGATGTTTTTGCCATTGTAAATGTAAAACGGCTCTATACTTTTTGGACCTGGAAACAGTCCCTGTTTGAGCTCTGAGCTAATTTCAGTAACCAAATGAGCATGAAAAAAGGAAGCCTTTACCACCTGACTGTTTAAGGTAAGTCATTGAAAAGATTTTACTTGAGAATCAAATCAGTTATAAAATCTATCTTTATTCCTATAATAAAAGTTGGGTAATACAAATAATTTTTAACTCAACCATTCAGCTGCATTGTCAGCATGTGTATCATTATTCTTATTATTGATGATTATAAGTATTTTTTTTAACAGAAATCAGAAAACTGTTTGTATTTGTATGTATTTTCTTAACACGGCCTGAACCCTTAAAAACAAAGTTTCTTGTAAACTGTTTAAATATTCTTCAGGAACAGTATTGCTTGCTTCTTGACGTCCCAAAGCTGCTCTGACACCAACAACTCTTCAATTATGTTGAGGTCCAGGTTCCGAAGAGGATTCATCCCTCCACAAGACCTGTTTCTATTGATTTTCAACGCACAGCTAAGCCTTTTCTTCCTGTTTTCCTTGCTTAAGAGTGCCTTCTTGACAGGCACCCTTCCATGGTGACGGTCTCTGATGAGGTTTCTGAAGGATTGACTTAAGGTTTGCATCGACTTAATTGACTTAAGGTCAGGTGGATTTTCTCCTTTTCCTGAAGGAAATCACTTTCAGAAACTGTTAATCTGCAGCCGGTACTTCCACAAGTGCAAGCCTTTAATCCTCTACTTTCCAGAGTACTCTATTTTTTCATATGCTTCTATAATTAAACTAAACTAAAAAAATTGACTTAATGCTCCCATTGTTGGTAAAAAGAAATATGATCAAACTGATTTATTTTAGATACATTTGAAAGACATTGAGATATGTTGTGTTGAAAAAGTACCTCAGAAAGCCAGACTGTTCAAAACTTTTGTACAGCACTATAAATGTAGAAATGTTGGAGCAGGAATTCCTGCATAAAAGGTACTCAAAAGACGCCAACTGGTGGATTTTTTGTCAATTGGATTATTTCAAAATAAATTATAACAAACTTCATGTTTAATGACTTAACAATGGAAGCACTTTTTTAGACTAAAATGCAATAAATTCAAATTCAAGTGCTTGAACGCAGTTTTCATGGTCTGATTATTGGGTACATCATATTAAAATGTGATGCAGTATAAAACGAGTCAAATTTCAGTGTATTCTGTAAAACCTCTTCCCATTATTTATTCATGTCTGAAAACGACAAGTCCTCACAAAGATTTTTCAGAAACGTCTCAGGCTGAAGTCTGATCAAACACGTGAGACTAATGCGAATATCGCCTTACTCTCCCAGCTCCAAAAATATAGATATCTGATGCTCAGCAACCAGAGCTGGGCTTTGTCACGGGCAGGGTCTGTTATGTGAGCCTGTGCCTCCTGGCCACATTGCTGCTATACAAGTCCTTCATGGACAGTTCACACAGGTCTTATCCTGTCTTGTGTTTTTTCCCCTTCCTTTTTACATATTACAACATTTCCCCTCTTCATCAAGTAAAGTATATGATGCTGCTTTCATTTGACATGGAACATGCCATTTAACACCCTAATAGTTAACGGATTGTCTGCAGAGCCTCCTCCTCCTCCTCCTCCTCCTCCTCCTCATGTCTGAACCCGGGGTCATGCATCACTCAGAGGACTGGACGAAAGAGATAAATATTTCTTTCAGCTCTGTCACATAGAAGCTTCCTGAATGGCTTCCTGCTCTTTTGAGTGGAAGCTGTCTTTGGCTTGCAGCCTTTACTTAAGTGTTGGTAACCTTTCTTTAGGCGGAGAAGCCTAATCTAGCCATTCTTATAGAAATATAACTGTTTAGATTAGCTGCGTGTTTAGCTTTGATTAGTTTTATTTTCTGTGAAACATTTAGGTACATGTCCACACACACACACACACATACACAGTGCCTGTCTCTTCCCCGGGGTTTGGCCAGGCAGTAACATTGTCAGATCCATGCATCATTGGTAAGAAAATCTCCTAGCTCCCCCACCCTCCACGCCACCACCACCTCCACCCCTCTGAGGCAGACCTGAAAAGATCCTTTTGTCCCTCATCACCCAGCTAACCCCCACCCCACCCCACCCCACCCCAGCGTCTCCCCTTCCTCTGACACACACACTCTCCTTGCAGCCTGTGGTCATGGATACCTGGGACTCTCTCACACACGGCTCCCGTGTGCAGTAAAGCTACCTATACAGGCACCAGAGCATGAAGAGAAGCAGTTCAACCCCCCAAAAAATCCCCCAGCGTTTTGGGTTCTGTTCCCATCCGAGATGTTCGCACACTCGGATGCCAGAGAAAACACACCAACCCAGCTGAGGCCGACGGCGCAGGCCCACGCGGGCTACTCTCCATGTTTATTTGCACACGTCAGGGCCCTTCCTGCTGTTGATTTAGAGCCACTGCCACTTATGCCTCCCGACAAACGAAATACCCTTTTGATGACTCGGGCTCTGTTTGCCGTCAGCAGCTGTTGTTGCTGGCACCGGCCGGCCTGACGTTATACCTCCAGCTTTTGTCGTCTGCTCCCTGGGCTGAAGAGATCAGAAACAAAGCGGCGGACACAGAGAAGCAGAAGAAAACGAGCTCAGAATGTGGTCCCCCGCTCATTCGGAAGCAAGGGATTCAGGCTCGATTAAAAGCAACTGCGAGAGTGGGAGCGTGGGATTGGTTTTTAGTCTCCTGCGCATCCTGAAGGTGACTGAGAGCTTGTGTCCGTCATGTGGCCCTGCAGAGCCTGTTTAATCCCTGCGCTGCGCCTGCTCCTTTTGGACATCTTGTCAGTAGATTAACAGATATGACGAGACTCTTTGGTGGCTTTTTGATCACCTGTTTGTTAATTTGTGAGTATTACAACCGCACAAAGAGCCAAGAGTGAAGGGCACATGTTGTTCTAAGACCAGCTCAGTTCCTCCAGGAGCTCTGCTCAGGGCTGACCTCTGTTTCATTGGTCGTATGTTGATCACTGAGTTATGGAGGCTACAATAAAGTATAATAATCTATCTAGAATAATAACAAATCTCTGTAATCTGCATAACCAGGAGGCAGTTTGAAGAAACAGTTGATCATTAACAGTGACTTGCATTGTTGAGTTTGAATTAATATTCGACTATTTGACTATATTCTAATTTTATAGACTATAAAAAGTGTTGATTTCCTACCTGGAACAGTGTAGGAAAAATACCAATTTTCTTGTCAGGTCTTGAAACTGAACTTAAATTCCCCAAAAGCACAATCTATGAATCACTTTTTTTTCCAGCCACAAACATCTTTTTAAACACTGATTTGTATTCTTCCTGTATATTGTTTTTTTCTGTATTTTATCGTAGATGTTAACAGGAATATTTTATTCCACTTAACTTTTCATTTGGCATTGCACCACACCTTGATTCCATTAAAAAACAAAGAGAAATTTAGTTGTCTTTTTTTAAAAACTCAATTACATTTATATAATCATCAAACAAATAAATAATTGAGTGTTCTAATTAAATGTAAAACACAGTTGAGATTTCGTCCAGCTGTAACATTAAAGCTCTGATCAAAGCCACTGCGAGCAGAACAGAATAAGGTTTTTTTTTTTCAAACAAAGAAGACTTTTACTCTTAGTATCAACTCTCAATGACATCAGTATAAATTGGCTGGGTTCTTTTCACCTAAGTAGACGCCTCGAACGCTTCTGCAACCACTGAGTCTTTAAAAACAGAGAATCAATAAAACCCTGCTGATGCAGGTCTGCCGAGGAGAGCCAGACATCCTCGTTCACAGGTATGTGGAAAGCTGACCGTTGTGAGCAGCGACAGAGGGGGGAACGGGAGAAAAGAGGGAGGCCTCTCGGATGCAGAGGACCCAGAGGTCCCTCCGCTGGAGCTGCGGGTGCTGCAGCCCCTGCAGCCCTGCAATCTCCGCAATCAGGCAGTAATGCAAGCAGCGACTGTTTCAGATTATGCTCAGGAAATCCTCGGTGCTCTCTGCTCAAAACAATTTACCCTGACATGAGCTGAGAAGGGAACGTGGTGGGGGGTGGGGGAAAAGAGAGCTCTCTGTACAGTCCAGCTTCCACATTATTATTAATATTATCATTATTGTTGTTGTTATTATTATTACTATTATTGTTATTATTATTACTATTATTGTTATTATTATTATCATTATTATTATCACGATGTTTTTAGTTATGCCGACTTGTTTAATTTATTTGTTGTCCTTATGAACAATAAGATGCTATTAAACTTAGTTTGTTTTTCCTTTAGTTGGTTGGAATCTTCGTAAATATCATCAGCCAACATGGGGGATGTTTGCCCATACTTTTCCTTGAAAGTCCAGAGCTGGTAAAGGTTTAGTGGTGGCTCTTTCCCATGGCCCAGAACCGACAGAACAAACTCTCGGAAAGAGGAAAGAAAACATGGCAACAAAAAGCCAATGATCCGCAGCACTCGAGCTAAAAATGACGAGAAAAAAAAGGAAAAAAGAAATCCCCCTAACAGTTGTAGTGGAGCTGAGGTGGTTTTGAATGGAAGCTAAACTGGTTCTTGTGTACACAAATACCTCCTGACAGACAGCTGCTGATGTTGACTTTCATTTCTATTAATCCAAATTAATTTTGTTCTCTCTTCATTTATTGTAAAAAAAAAAAAAAAACAACGTGTACAGCTGAATTTAATCTTCTCTGCAAACTCACAACATTTAGAGTCACCAATAGATCTATTTACATGTTAGAGTTTTACCCCCCCACATTTTAAGGTCACTTAAATAAACATCATCATTGACAGCATATATTTTTTTGTCCAATAGTATTAATTCAATTTAGTTGGTAAGCCACTGATTTATCTAGTTTGCAAAGGCTTAGAGCCAGAATCTAGAATAAGCTACATGACTAGTTATTTTTCTTCAAATACACAAATAACACAGAGACAAATGCATTACTTTTTATTGGAAACTAATTACCATGACTCTAATGAAAACGTTACCTCTTAGTTTCCATCGCAGTAGGCTGCCATAATTATTTTGGTATCTTAACAAAATATCATAAATTAAGCAAGTGGGCAGTCCTGTTAAGTGTTTCGTCGGGCTAAGAGTTTCAAGAAGGTCCTGTTTGTGTGTTTCTTTTTGCGCAGGAGATCAGAAAATCCTCCTGTCCAGGGAGATGTGTTTAAGCGCATAAAGGAATTTTCTTCTAACCAAATTTAAAGACAGATAGGTCAGTCTATTTGATATACGCTACTATAGTGTTATTTCATACATGTGTTCACTCTGATACACTTATCAGTCCTCTTCGTTTCGCTGCGATCGTTAAAATAGAATAAACGGGAAGCCTCTTTAAGAGCCCAAATCCACAAGACTGGAGGTTAGAGGTCCCAACAAGGAGTCCTGCAGTTGGTGTGGATGTCCGTGCATGCCGTGCACCGGCTGTGGGGGCCCCAGCCCGGACATGGGGTAAGCGGAGGCCCCCGGGTGGCTCATGTTGCCCTGGAGCAAAAGCGTTGAGTTCTGGTCGGGGCTCTGAGGTGGAGAAAACTCGTCCTCCGAGCTGGACATGAGAGACTTTCCTCCATCCAGAGGGGACAGCTGGTTCTGTTTGTTGCCGCCTGCGTTGTTATTTTCACTGTTCTCTCTGGAAACGACATACAAAAAAGAAAGAAGAAGAAAATGAGAGAAACTATTGAGCGTCACCGGAAACGTATTTGATTAAGGCGTTTTTAACTTAAAAATGAGACTCTATTGACTACAAGAAAACCACATTTAAACTAGAAAATATGTCAGAAAGTCACAATTTTCTTACCATACTGTAGCACCACAAGTGCTTTGTGATTTGTTTTTGTTTAAATCCCATTTAATTTCAACTGGGTTTGCAATGAACTGCGTATTTAATCTCAGTGTAACCTAATTTAACCTTTTGTAAATGACCAGTTCTCTCATCAATATAATGAAAAAATGTTTACATATTTTTATAAAACGATATACTATACACTATATACATCTGACTCCCTGTACTTCAGATCTTTTACATTTAAGGCCACACTTCAGACTTAGTGCCTCTGAGGGTTTCCCATCATTTGACAACAAGCCGCTACTGTTTACCCATTCCGCTGTGAGCAGATAAATCACGATGCTCTTCAACATTTAACATGAAAAGATCATCCCTTATATTGGATCAAACGGTTAATGTAAAAATAGAATGACTCCTCACTTTGCCTCTTACTAAAAAATGCCAGAGCTGACTCTCTTTTTCATGCTCTGATTCGCCGTTGCCTCATTTGAAAAAAATATTTCCATCAGTGTCAAACTTTAGTTTATTCTCGATGGTGTAAAAACAGAAATGTTTCTGCTTTTCGGGCACCGTCGGGGCCTCTGGAGATGAACGTACCTCTCCTTCGCCTCGGCCGCTCTGTCCCTCTGCCGTCTGTTTTTGAACCAGTTGCTGACCTGCGTGGTGGTCAGTCCTGTGGCCTCGGCCAGTTCCCGTTTTTCCCGCGGGGAAGGATAGGGGTTGTGCGTGTACCACTCTCTCAGGACTCCCCTGGACTTCTCCTTGAAGCAGTAGCTGGTCTCCTCGCCGTCCCATATTGTGCGGGGCAGCGGGAATTTCCTCCGGACCCGATACTTCCCCACGGCTCCCAGCGGCCGGCCGCGCAGCTTCTCCGCCTCCACGTAGTGCGCCTTCAGCCACAGCTGCTGCAGCTTCGGGTGGTTGTGAGGCGAAAACTGGTGGCTCTCCAGGATCTTGTAGAGCTCTCGGAAGTTCCCCCGGTGGAAGGCCACCACCGCCTTGGCTTTGAGGACGCTCTCGTTCTTGTGGAGGTGGTCGCAGGCGGGCAGGGACCACAGGAAGCGGCCGAGCCTCTCGAGGTTTCCTCCCTGCTGCAGCACCTCGCAAACGCACGCCACTTGCTCCTGCGTAAAACCGAAGGACGGTAATATTGACATGATGTCCGATGCTCACTCCCCCCCCTAGCTTCAAGTCCCGATATCCAAAAAGCTGGTCGCTGTCTTTAGTGGTGAGTAACAGTGGCGGAACGGCGTCTGGTCGCGGGGCGGTCCGGCGCAGTCCGTCCGCGTTGCTCAGGCCTGAGAGCTATCCGCTCCTCTCCAACCCCTGATGCGCGCAGCAGATTGGGATGTTGATTGTTGGGACAATTTGTTCCTGTTGGAGATATGTCAGGCTTAAAGGGAGCCTGTGCGTTTCGGTGATTGGCTCTCCCTCTGCCCTGCACCCTGTACAGCAGAGCAGGACTGAGTTTGCGGCTCCGTTTCCTCCCCAGAGGCAGTGCGTCAGGGGCTGAAATAGGAGCGCTCCCACCTCCCGCCCCCACAGTCCCTCTCCTGCCTCAGCTAAGGGAGCAGAGCAGCACCTAAACACTAATCAATTATTAGAGAGCTCTTAAAAGGCCATTTTCGCATGTTCTAAATATCTTCTTTAAATGATGATAGCCTTTCCCATGAGGAGCCAAACACACCGTCCTCGTGTGAAGGTAACCCACAAAAGACAAATCCTGCACACAAAATAATACCCACTAAATACCTTTACATATATTATACATGTGGGTTAGAGTTAAGGTAAGAAATATAACTTAGCCAGTGGAAATACAAACCATGTAGTATGAATATTTAGGTAAAGATTTTGTTGGCTTTTTGTTATTTCTTTAAATTTGAATGTAATTCCCTTTAATCCTTCCAACAACATTTAGCATATTGTGAGCTCCACCCACATAATCACATGCAGATTGAGCATTTTGTTGTATCCCCACTTTTAATTAGAGAAGCCGTTTATTTTACGAGGTGATAGAATTTAATAAGTTCCTATGATAGTTTGGACCATTACCTGCCATTACACACTTATTTATGAGCAACCTGTAGTACCTGACAAACGTGTTATGGGCCATAGACCACCAGTAGCAAAGCAGCTTTGTGCGCGTGTGAATGTGTGTGTGTGTGTGTGTGCTTGTGTGTCTGAGTGAGTTGGGGACTGACAGAAAGAGTTGATGTGAAATGCCAAATGCTTTAAGCTTGGGAAACAATTGTCCAGATATCTTCAGGCCTGAAAAGTAATACTTTGGTGCATTCAAAGGCAAACAAGTCTAACACGTGCCCCAAAGAAAAATGGCACATAGTGCCCCACTTTGGAAATGAGGCTTATGTATTTTAACCTCTGAACGTCAAGTTGCAATTTTACCGATTTATTGCTGTTCATAAAGAGCTTTTGTAGGAAATATTCTGTCTTGATTTGTATTGATTTTTTGTTTGATTAGTGCTGTTTGGAGTGGAAGTTTAGGCTGACGTTAAGCCGAGTTCCTACCATGTCTGCTGAACAGGTCCTCCCAGCCTGTTGTCCACATTTATATTTCAGGCACCGCACTGGCTCCAGTGTTTTCTGTGGGCTGAAACACTAAACCAATCCATTAGTAAATGAGTTCTGAGCGACACAAGTTCTTGGTGGTGCAGTTGTTGGTTTGAGCCTCATAGATCACATTTCTTAATCTGGACCAAAGATCTTAAGATACAATCTACAATCTTTTGGTATATTGTGCTAGTAAAAAATAGGTTCAAATTAATTTAAAACGTGAAAGAAGATATTTTGTGTTTTTTTTGCCAATGAGGTTAAAATGCTTTTAGACTTTTGTCTTTTGGGCCAAAGATACTTGCAAAGCAGACTTGGAGATAGCTTCATGCAGGACTGCCTTATATTTGTATTTAATCCAGAAAGAAGAAATTAACAAATGTGTTTTGTTTTTTTTAACACACAAGGACAGAAAAATCTAAATAAAAGAGAAGGTGAAACAAAGAAAAAATATTTTAAAAAGAGCTCATGAGACTATGAGACAATATATAATTAATATGGAGGGCTTTCCCAGTATTTGCTACCTTTGAATTGTGAACCTTAACAAAAACACAATAGTAAACTAAACTTTGTAAAACTACTTTGTTGTTTTAGTTGCATTAATTCAAGTGAATATCCTACTGAAAGCGTGGCAGGATTCTCACATATTACTGGCTGTACCTCAAAAGTCTTTCATTCCATTTAAATTTGATTTCTCAACACAAGAGCCACCAACCTAGACGTTGCCCCTCACCCCCCAAGCTTAAATTGAAACGTAAATACAGCCTGAGAACACCATTCCGAGGACTAACAGTTTTCTATGGGGAGAAACAGAGGAAAAGGAGTGCGATAGACTTGTACACGTTTGGAGTGGACACACAGGTTCGGAGCATGGCAGCACTCGAGCTGTGTAAAACCTCAGTGCTTCAGTAAATGAGCTGTCTGATGAGCGCCTCTCGGGTTTCTCTAATATCTCTACCACATTGCACCGCGCCTCCTCCTTTAACCCGAGCAGCCCGGGGGGCGAGATTATTTCAAGATGTGGACTCTCCGCCTCCGCCTCTGCCACGGCCAGTGTTGGGCTCCCCATAACCTGGCAAGTAATGCAATACTCAGGCAGCCGATCATTCGTTACCATTTTCAAAAAATGGACTTTCGGCCAGAGAGGATTAAACATTTTCCCCCCATATGAGTTATTGCGTGTTTTGTTTCCTAGAAAAAAAAAAACATAAGGCCAATTTTTCACGTTTCCCTCTTTTTGAGCGTTTTAATCTAAATAAGGATTTTCAATATCTCTCTTGTTGGGTTAGTTATTTAATTTTGAAGTCTTATTTCTAAGCTTGTCTCGAATCACTTCTTCAGCTATGTGAACTTGTACGTTTGAGGAAAAACACGTAAATTATGGTGGTGACACTTAGTAGTCGAGAAACAGGAAAAAGCTCAGAAACTCTAAAAGATGGAAAATACTTTATTAAAAAAATGTCATCATCAAAAAAGACTCCGTCTCCTGCGAGGGTTTATTTGTTTAAATATGGAGGAAAATTGAAACGTCCAATGACTGAATGAACAGATGGTTTTCACTCTATCCAAATCCAAAGTGCTATTTCAGCTGTATCGAGTGGAACACAGCTGATGCTGGTTAATACAATTTTTTTAAAAGGACGGATTAATAGAGTATTGGATTAGTTAGATTCTGTTTCCAGAATATGACATTTAACAGCGATTGGTGGGACTTCATTTGTAAAATTATATTTTCACTTTGTATTTTTCCTAAAATAAAAACTAGGACTTTAGGAGAACACAGTTTTGAAAACACACCGATTGGCAAATTGCACTTCCTTTTTACAGACTCATTCAGCAGCAAATGAAGGAATATAATTTAGATCCTTGTCACCAGCGTGGAGTTGCTGCTTAATCCCACACGTTTTGAATGTGTCTCAGATTGGGAGCTGCGGTGGTGCATTCGGTGGTGACAGTGAGAAAAAAAGCTGCTCCTTTTCCCAAAACAAAACACAACCGTTGACATGAGTGAGTTAAATGAAATTGGAGCTGCAATTATCAGCTTAACAGAGTTTCCTGTCATGTTGGAAAATTAGACCTGGTACAAGTGCGCTGGGGTTAGCCCCCTCCCCATCAAAATCATTACGCATTTCCTCAGAGGACCACCTTCACAAATATGCAATTAAGGCCCCGGCTTTTACAGTGCTCTGCTCAGTAAACACACCCCGGGTGTATAGATGACGGCATTTGTTTTAAAGAGTCTCCTTTTCTGGCTGCAGGGCTCGGATAAATAAACAAACGAGGCGGGCAGACAAACACATAAACAAACACAGGCAACGCTTTAAATGTGATGTGCAGCTACTATGTGTGCCTTCTGGCAGGGAGGGGGCGCCATGTCAATGCTGTCATACAAGTCAGAATGTAACTCCTGAGAAGATGAGTTGTTGTTTGTGTCTCAGAAGTCTCGCAGTTGTGCAGCTGTGTGTGCCCACAATCTTCACCGGTCATTTCAGTCCTCCCAGGCTCTGCTCGTGTTGCAACTGGGTGTTTTTCTCTTTGGGAAATACCTTTGACCGCTGTGGTGGGGACTTGACGCTTTCTCCCAGCTGCTGCCTCTCTATATGTGTGTCACACTCAGACTCACACATGCCCACTTAAAACTGCCCCTTTGAGTTATGTTTTCTGTCCTTGTCCCAGAACAAACCAGTGAATCACGCCGGCTGCCTCTTCGGCTGGATGACAGGCAGCAGCAGACACGTACATTCCTCCTGCTCTGCCAAGCAACAGCCAAGGAGCTGGGAGATCTCCACAAGGACGATGGGAGGTAATAACCTTTCTTAGTTCATATCAACCGTGCAGATTTGAAACCCCCAAAAGTGAGCAAATGCTCTGCTTCTGCCAGGACCCAGCTTGGCCAGGAGTGGTGGGCTGGTACCCGCTGACCCCTGCCCTCTCATTAGTGGGACGTGGAGTGGTGGAGTACCGCGCTCCCCAGGTCATGTTACATATGGCTTGCAGTCTGCTGCACCGCATTAAATGTCAGCTTTGAAACCATCTGAAAGATCAGAGGTCAGTGTTTTTAATAAGGCCAGAGTTCTGGGGGAGTTCCCTTTTTTTTCACTGCACACATAAGTGTGCTTTATTTCGTGTGTGTTAAAATTGTGGTAAAACATACGGGTTTCTAGGTTTTAACAGATAAATAAAATAATATGACTTAGAATTTTCTAAATCTCACGCAGTGCAGCATATTTGTAGTTGCATTTGGGCTCGTGTACTGTCCATTTCTAGGCACAATACACAAAGGTGGAATTTGGAGTTTTCCCCCTCCCCGTGAGATCCACAGACCATGAGCTCTTGCTGCAAATGGGATATTGTTCTGGGCTCCAACAAAGCTGTTTTCACCCTCTTTAATATTACAGGAGGAGCTACCTGATACCTAACAATCAGCTAATCCACTGCCCATGGCGACGAGGTCACCTGTGCACAGGTAACTTTATCCTGGTTGCCCGCCTCTCCCTCCCCTTCCCGCTTGTCTCTGCCATTTTTACCCCCCCTCCTTCTCTTTGCCTCAACAGTGAGCACAGACAAACAGCCTCTGTTTATTTAGGTCATCAGCTAGATCATATATAACTCCCATAGCCAGGATCCACGGCAAAGAAAACTCCCATAATCCATTGCAGACACGCTGTGAAGGAAGTAAAATCTCCTGCTGTTCATCCATTTGTCAATCTCTGACTTCATGTTATCTCCCTACACTGGTTTGATCAGGTGCTTACTCAGTTAACAAGCATTGGGTAAAAACACTCAAATTTAAGAACCCCTCAAGCTGTGGGAGGATCTCAGACCTCGTATCAGAACAGTCTCACAGCACCTTAGATTTATTCCTCCACATGTTGAAGAAGTGGGGTTTGGCCTTCGTTTTAGGGGAAAGTCCACTGGATTGAGCGGATCTGTGGGGAGCTGCAGTCCCCCCACCCAAGAGGAGCTTTACCTCTGGAAATCTCATTGCTGTTTATTTGAATTACAGGGGCTGAGATGAGAAAGGGGGCCTAATGAACTCCAGGATGCCGGGCATGTGCAAACAATCACTGCAGGTTTGCAGAGAGCTGAAGCAGGCTTGCTGGATTACAGCGTGCCAGTCACCCCCCCACGATCCTCACAATTTGGCTACATGGGGCTTTTAAATGTCGGGAGGACATGTGCTTTATGTCTGTCATAAACTTACAATCATTGCAGACGTATTGTGTCACAAAAATCTTGAAAACTATAACTTCTGTCTCATCGTCTTGAGGCTGAATGTGGTGAATAATTAAAGCTGCCTGTTTTAAGTTTTTATAAATATAAACTTTTATTGCAGTATGGAGATTTAGAAAAATACATTTACATAATTTCAGATAACAAACACATAAATTCAAACTATAGCTTCAAAAAAACAAATGCAAACAAAATGTTACTTTTTGCTCATCTTTTTTTAAACTCATATTGTTAAAGCACTATGGAGTCTTTCACTGAAAGGTCCACTCAAATGTCTGGACAAGGAAAAGTGTCATTTCCACCGGCAGGACAACACGGGACGCTCTTATGTAAATGTGAGTTGGCTGCTTGGTTTAAATGTGGTGTTGTGGTCATGTATGACGGCATGGACCTCAGCGAGTGTTGTGAAAAGCACTGGACACACTTGACAAATGGGCTTCATGCTCTCTTTGTGACAGCTGACAAATGTGCCGGTAGAGTTTTCCGCGCGCTGACGCAAGAGCAACAACTGAGATGACTTTTAATGTTACAGACACACAAAAATAAAAGGCACTTGCGTCGGAAATGCCATGATGCCATGCAAAGAGAAAAAACTACGATCTCTATTGAAAAATCTTCTTGGTTGCATTTAAATCCTTTCCCTTTGTTCCTTGGGACCCTTAAAAGCATACACACCGTAGTTGTTTGCATCTGTCTTTATAGAAAAATATCATTCATGATCACTGACATTTTGAGAGATGCATCAAAACGAAACATAATATAGTACAGTATCATCACAACTAGTTAACATACTATGAGTTGCAGCATTATAAACAACATACGATGAAGGACGTCAGATTTTGCAAACATCATTCATGTCTTGGCCTCATGGGTCGGTGATGAGACTTAAAATAGGAGCCGTTGCTGTGATATTGTGCATTTGTTGGGGTGTGTCGCGCAGGACAAACCCTCCAACAGAGAGGCTGTTTCAAACATTGTAATGTCATCATGGTAGTGCAAATGCCAAAACAGACCGATGCCATTGTGGATTTTAAGTAGCAGAAAGGCACATTTGTCTTTACTTATTTCTCACATTCAACACCCCTAATTTGTTTTATTTGATATAAAGCAGTAAAGCAGCATTTTGCATTGACGTGAGAGGCATTCAGAGAATTTAAAGTGCTTACTGAAGGACACTTTTACCTAAATCAGCAGCTCTGTGAGATAATGACCTATTCTATGCACGTGTGTGCAGTCCTTCAGTAAAGCTGTTTAACTGACAACTTTTCATCGAAGCTCTCTCCCTCTTCCCCCTTCAGAATGACCTTTTTGGTTTGACCCAGATGACGCATTTAGTTTGGAGGAACATCCTGGTCACATGACTCGAGGCATTCCAACACCTGCTTCTGCAGATCAAATCCAGTCAACAGGAAGTAGCAGGTGTTGTCTATAAAAATGCACATTTAAAACGAGGCTCAAACAAATGTGGCGACTGTTTCTGTCAGCTCATAACGGTCATGTTTCGTCTCACGAACGGGCATTTTAAAACTTGTCAGAGGCTTTTAAAAATTTTCATGACCATCTGATAAAGCCACCCCCCCACACAGGGCTCCTCTCTGACTAGAGTGCATCATAAAAGTCAAATAAACACAAATAATTTAAAGGAAATTAATGGTTTAAAACACACACACACACACACACACACAAACACACAAAACAGTAAAAAGAATCATCATATCGCTGCTTGGGTTCACGTGAGTGCTCCTGTGATGGGTGAGATTTGAGGCTAGAGGTCGGTCATGTCCTCATCCATCTGCACTGTCTGTAGTTTGGCTAGCTCCTTTCCCTCTGCCGCCTCGATCTCCCCGCACATTGCTCGCACCATATCATTCATGCCCCCTGACCCCGAGCCGTCCACCTTGCCCTCTGAAAGGTTCATGTAGTTGTTGTTCATGCCAGGCCCCATCAGGTGTGAGGACGGGGCCCCCCGTGGCACCTCGTGGCTCCCAAGGTACTCCGTGGGCTGGAGGTGGTGGTTGCTGGGGTCTGTTTGAGCCATCAGGGGCGTGCTGACGGTGAGGGTGGTGTAGACCTCCGGTTCGGGGCTGGATGAGCTGACAGCGGGAACCTCAGAGGTGGAGGTGGCACTGTGGCTGGAGGAAATCTCCTCTGAGTTGGGAGTGGTGTAGCTGATCCGACCGCTGGCGTCCAGGTGGAGCCCGTGGTGGTACGAGGAGTACATCCCCCCTTCTATGGGCTCCTTCTTGATGGCCGGCTGACTGCTGTTGCTCATGCTATAGAGAACCGTGCTGTGGTGGAGGGACGTCATGGTCAGCTTCTCCTGCTGCTGAAACGAGTCATCGCTGGAGGAGCTGGCTGCTACATTATTCAGAGGCATGTTACCTGTGGACATACAACAGAAGTTCATACATGTATAATGTTCACTTCAGATGCACCTACAGATGATCTCACTCCCACTGCTGGACCACCCCCCTTTTTTTTTTAACTACTTACAGTATTATCATACATTTCATTTACCGAAGACCTTAAATTGCTGTTGAATGTCTCACACACTTTGTGCTTTTTAGGTTCAACCCCACAGTACCCCAGAGAACAAATGCAATCGGCTGCTACAACTCACATGCAAAGTATGAACCCCCACCCCCACAACCTTCCTCTTTAGGGGCAAGATTCCCTGCTTTATGTCAAATTAAGTGCGGTAGTGGCTTATTCCCATGTTGATGCATTTCATAGCGGCTGATACTCCGAAACATATTTTCCTTCCCTGCTCTGGAGATTAAGAGTGTAATGATGATGAGTGATGGTGACGTCAGGATCTGTTTTCCTTCATATCTGGGGCTCCGAAAGGACCACTGCTTTTAAGAATATCAACATGTGTGGATCCCTCTCTGTTAACTCTTCTTCCCTCTATCATATGTAATATCAGCCTCTTGGGCCATGGTCTAAACACTGACCAGTCAATAAAGCTGCTGAGATGAGTTGTGGGGGCAGTGGAGACTTGTTGACAAACCCCAAGGGACGTGCAACATTGCACTGAAACCTTTAAGAAGGGCAAAGGGTAACACTGACCTGTTATCAATAAAAGGCTATGACATAAATTCTGTGTTATAAAAAATTAAAATAGATTCAACTCAGATCTTGCTTATCATAAAATATCTTACTATTACCATTAAAAGCATTTTAAGGCTCTGGACTGAATTTCAATTCAACGTTAACCTTTTCTATCTTTTAGTGTCCTCACACTATCTCACATTCACTATAAATCCCTATTACATTATACCAGGTCCCAAAATATATGACCCTTGAGTGTCAAAATGTCAATACAGAGCTTGAAAAGTAGACTTTTAACCTCTATGCTCTTACTATATTTAATATTAAAATAAACGCTTAACTTGTATCATGCAATTGTGAATATTTCTAATTAATACCCAAAAACATTTTAAATCTACTGGATTTTGTCTTATCCAGTTTATTTTTTAAAGTGTATTTAATGTAGTCTCTGTGGGTTTTTTTCTCTTTCTGTGTTTTATGACACTTTGCAACAACTGTATTCTTAAAGTTTAAGGCTATCGTCACGGTCAGTTTTTGAGTGTGATGTTTTTCTTGACCAACCTTGTTGTGTAATTGATGAGGGAGAAGAAGCAGAAGAGAGCTGCAGTGGGGGAAGACCCACATCACTGTTGAGTAACGAGCTGCCGTCACTGTCAGAGACTCCACTTGGTACCTGGACCAGACTGTAGCCCCCCAGCTGCAGGGCACCTGATGGCGAGCTGAACGTCAGCACAGACGAGCCTCCGTTCTGGGCGGCCATGGTGTGGACCCCCTCCAGCTTCACCTCTGCCCCATTCACACAGCTTGAGTAGGAGGAGTACTGCAAGGAGGACTCATCAGCACTGCCCAGTCCTTTCTCCTGTCCTGACTGCATGTGCATGTCCGCTCCTGCACCCCCAAGCAGCACCCCCCCAGATGGCCTCAGAGGGTTGAATGCCAAGGGCTGTATGCCCAAATTGAGGCCATTGAACAGCATGTTCCCAGGTGATTGGAGGTAAGATGAGCCACCATTATGGAACACAGTGGAGGAAGTGTTATTGGTTGCTAGACTTCCGTTGTAGAGGCCACCACTGCTCGATACAGGGGACATCTTGATGTCCCCTATCTGCTGGATGACAATCCCACTGTCCAGAGGTCCTGTTTGAATGGGTAGGCTTCCGTGTGTTATCACCCCATCTGAGGAATTGGAGAGAGGACGAGGGGAGAGCTCATCCTGGCCTTTACTGGACTCATCCTCTGTGCTGTGGTTGCCATCAGACTCACTGGTGGAGAAAGGTTGTAAAAATGCAAATGGTTTATGAGGAAACAAACAGAATCAAAACAGAAACGTTTGTAGCTAATTGCTGATACAATATGGTTTTCAGCCAAAATGGAACGTGGTTAGAAAATGTGTGTTAGTACATGAATATTGAATATTTTCCAACATTTGTGTGGATTATTATTCTGGGAAAAAATACACACTATTCACTCTAAATTAATAGGCTGTGTCCATACACTGCAGAAAAACAGGGTAGACTCAAGATCTTCCATGAATATTCGGTCTTAAGAGCTAATACAGCTGTGTTTTTCCAGTTTTGAAGAGCAAACTGTATTTGTGAATGCCCCCTCTTATTTCTTGGATAGTTTCTCTGACATCGACCAATCAGCATCAAGAACCGTGGGACCATTTGGCGCAATAAATTCTTGCGTGCCAAAATGCCAACACTGATGGCCTGACCGAACAAATGGTTCTGAGTCTGTATCTGTGTCCCTTTAGCTTTTATATTCAAACTTCAACTCTTTACTTTTCGGCTTTCAAGAAGGAGCAAACTTAAAAAAACAGACACGGAGACACAACACGGACCTACCAGATCTGTTTTGTCATTATAGCCTCATTATGAAGATTGATTAAAACAGCTGCACGCCCACCTCCCCCAATGCAAGCACACACACTCGCAAAGCCCCCCTCCCTCTCCACAACACAAGGGAAACATATTAAAGAGAAAGTTGTGGTGAGAACAAAAAAGACAAGTTTCTGCATATTAAACACTGTCAGATGTGATTTTAGTGGTTATGAATAGAATCCATAATGGCGCGCGTGTGTCAGTGCGGGCGTGTGTTTGAGAGACAGGGACAGAGGGGTCACCTCCACCAGGTGCGCGTCATCTTTGTTCACACAGAGGGAAACATGAAAGAACAACCTTCACATATCTGACTGTTTGGGTGGAGGATTATGAAATAAAGTGCTAGAGCTGATGGAAGCTTTGAGATTCCCTTTTGGTCCCAGATTTAAAAAAGAAAAAAGGGGGGTGGGGGATCATGAAAATTATTTGAGTGCTGCTTGGTGGACACGCACACGCCTGTATATACACTACAGATAGATAAGAAGAAAGTAAAGCACCTTTTCACGTCACCTTTGGGTTTTTCTTTTCTTTTTTTTTCTTCCTTTTTTTGAGAAAGTTGCATTCGGCTCCCGTGTCCGCAAACTCGCTGGAGTGTTTGAGGCAATATATTATTTTGTTGCCTATGGCTTCCATGACTCTTAGCTCCGCTTCACTTGAAACCGGATCTGAATGGCAACAGCTTCATATTTCAAAACATTAAAAACGTGCTCCTAAGCTTTTTTCCCTCTAACTATCAGCAGTTGATTATTAACATTTTGAAGTTTTACTAATTAAATCACTGGAACGTTGTACCAAAAGAGAAACTGGCCTTCGATTAATTAAGTGAGTCTGTTTCAAACTATATGAGTTCCATAAAATGTTTACATTTAAATTTAGTTAAGGTCATTTCAATGCGTATTTTACGCACGGAACGCTGTAGTGTTTTGTAGTTTTGTTGCGACTGAAAAGGTCTGCAGCGGTTTCCTTTTGTTTCCTCACCTCTTTGATTGGGCTTCCGACGGGTTTCTGTCTCTCTGTCTTCTGTTTTTGAACCAGTTGCTGACCTGAGTCAAGGAGAGTCCTGTTATCTTGGCAAGATTTCTTTTCTCGGCCGGGGAGGGGTATCTATTCTGATTATACAGATCCTTCAGCGCGTTTCGGGACCTCTCCTTGAAACAATAAACAGTCTCCTCACCGTCCCAGATAGTCCTGGGAAGAGGGTATTTTCTCCGGATCCGGTACTTGTCCACGGCGCCCAGGGGTCTTCCCCGCGCCTTCTCTGCCTCGGTGTACCGGGCCTTGTACCACAGGTCTTGCAGAAAGGTGTGGTTGGACGGACTGAAACTGTGGTTTTCCAGAATACTATAAAGCTCCTGATACCGTGCCTGGTGAAAAGCAACGAGGGCCTGTGCTTTTAAGATGCTTTCGTTGCCGCGTAGCAAGTCACTCTGTGGCAGGGACCACAGGAACCTGGCCAGCCGGTCCACATTGCCTCCCTGCTGCAATGCCTCACAGACGCACGCCACTTGCTCCGGGGAGAAAGCCAGAGAGGAAGCGGCGCTCACCAACAGCTCCGTGCGCACCGCGTCAGTGTTGGGAGTCGTGCGCTCCATGGACAACTCCGCCGCGTCCAGCGCCACAAGCTTGATGCAGTCCCGCGTATCCACCTCTTTCACATTTTCCCTCTTGATGTCATTTGCTGTTGTGACCTCTCCGGCAGAAGAAGACATTTTTTTTTGTTCAAGCCTTCTCTGGTCGAGTCACTCCTCCCAGCTCGATCAGGTTACCTCCTCGCCATGCGAACACGATCGGATATCTGACAGCAGCTGTAAGTAGATATCTCTCTCCCCTTTTCCTTCCAACGTGACTTTTACTCTGCGGGGACTGGAGCTGGAGGGAGACACGCTGGGGTCTATGTGCAGGAGAGCCACGCTATTGGCCGTCTAGGGCCCCTTAAGGGAGGAGCGAGCGAGATTCATACGCGAATGTTTGGTTTCTAGCTGTCAGTCATGTAACTTCCATTAGGCTTTATTCCCGTGGCTCACCTGTGCAAGGTGAGTGCTTCTGGGATCGTGGGAACGGGAAATCCTTGTTGCTTTGTACTGTCAGGAGTTCCATTGCATGTAGGTATGCACATCCAGGCAGAAGGAAGTAATGGGAAAATAATCATGAGAGTCACTCATAATTTCTATTTTACATGCTAAAGCCCAGCGAAATGTAAAATAAAATCCAGAATTCTAATACTGAATAACAGCAATGACATTTTGAAAGCCATATATTGCTCTAATTAGTTTCTGAAATTCTACATTTTGATGGCTGCTTTAAAAAGTACAAATGTAACAGTTTTTGAAATAATGAAGTTTAATGACTGACCCTATAACAGTTTAATTGTTTATGCTGCCTTTATGAGACACCTGTGCGCAAAATCAACTCAAAATTCAGAATAACCAAACTGTTATGCTCCATGATGGATGTCAGATCAGTTCATTCACAGATAACACACATAATTTACACACAGGTTTTAAAAAGGGGCCATCATATTTATGCTTATAAATATAAATTCCCCAATGAAGCTAGCCGGCTTCTGTAGATTGATCTTTTTGAATCATGTATGAAGATATTCAAATATCTAATGACAATAGGCTTATTAAATCAAGATAACATTTTACACATACAAATCACCGTGATTAGTCTTTAAAAATAATCATAGTCAGTTCTTCGTTTTCTTTCTTTAAATACCAGACTTGTAGGACATTTAGAAAGTTTCAATTAATCTCTTAACCATAGGGCTGGACTTCACTATGATGCAGGGCAGTTATAACTGCTGAGCTTTATGTCTTAATCAGACTGGACCCAGAATTATACAATTTAAAAAGATAAATGTAACTTGATCATTATGATATGAAATAAACAATTTTATGTTATTTAATTTGTGAGAGAAAGCTATCTCATTGGCCAAAACATTCATAATCCCATCTGAGTTATTTTCCATAAACGTTGACACATTTAACCAGAACCTATGATATTGTCAGACGCCTTGCATGATGAATGACATCTGGATCGATTTTTGGTTTTCATTCTGTTTCAGGTCAAGCTTAACTTCATAAAAATGTATAATGTATAATATGGCCAAAACCTATAATTTAATATAATCTTTATAAATAGAACCATTATATAAAGATAAGTCACTCAGCTTTCTTTTCAAATTTTTGTTTTTTACCTCAGACCCAAGGATCTATCCGCGGGGCCCCTGTCTGTGTCTGCACGACGACCGTGGAATGAATGGATAACTAGGAACTAGTCTTTTAGGAAGGGTTTCCTGTCGAACCGAACTCGGTGTGACGCAGCGGTTCGACGCTTCGAAAGTGGCAGCTATTGACTGTTGACATTTTTGTGCAGCGTGTTTCTCTGTGTGGCTGAGGCAGAAATGGATGACCAGGGCTGTCCGAGATGCAAAACGACGAAATACAGGAACCCGTCCCTGAAGCTGATGGTGAACGTTTGCGGCCACACGCTGTGAGTACTGCCCCGTGAAAGCTGAAACCCCAGCTGACGAGCTCGTTTCCCCTTAAAAACACTGGCGGTTTGGCTTCAAATGGCACAAAACGACACCAGAGAAATGAAAGGCAATAAACACAGCCGTTCAGCCTCATGGGTTACCACTATTAATGGACTGACGTCACAAAATACACTTCAATTCACGTGCTTTGGCTTCATGCTTACTTAACAAAGAGCAAACGGGTTGTTGTGCACAGACACTTAACGGACTAACTCTCTCCAAACAATATAACTAATACTTGTTAAACAGTTGAGTAGTACTTCATGTAGTCATCCTATAAGAACGCCACAGTATGAATACACGTGGACTGATCTGTATTCCGTCTGATTCCTTACGCCATCATTACACTGACCTTTGTTTGCCACCTATCTGCTGCTGCGTTCTGTCCCAGTGTTTTAGGACATATTAGGATGACAGTCTCAAACACGCTGAAAATGGTCTTATAATACTAAATATAAGCATAGGAAGTGCTGATTTCTCCTATATCGCACCTATAGTATACTATATAATAGTAAAGTATGATATCTTGCACATTTGAGCTGCCCTGGATTATTATAGTTGTACAAACACTCTACATCTTTTTGGACATGTCAGTGCTGGTCTTTCTACCAACTTTGGGCCCAATGAAACAAGGCATTTTTTCGTATCATTATATATTAAAGAGAAGAGACTTTGTCCTAATGAGGTGTGAAACTTTTATATTTATGTATAAACGTTTTGTAACTTCACGCCCACCGTGGAGCACTGGCCTTCCATTAGATATCCTTTAATGAATATTTTGAAGATTTTAGAGCAACTAAATGGTCCAAAATGGTTTCATATGGATTTAAAGCGATCCCCTCCTCTTTAGAATCATGAACATAAACAAAATGAGCGTTCGTATAATTGGTTGTTTTTGATGAACTTTGGTTGTTCTCTGTTGATCTTTTTCTTGGAAACCTTTGTAACTACAGAACTCGCTGATAGTCATAGCAGGAAAACCTGTGAGAAGTGCATATTTCCCCCTTCAGCTTTGTCATCTGTTTGAAAACCTGAACAGTTAGGTGAAGGGGACGTGTTCTCCATGAGGATTTTTGCAGTGACGGAGGTTACCTGATGGGCACATATTTTCGACCCCGTCTGTTTATTGACTGTAGCGTCAGGAAGTGGTCGTGCTTTGTCATCAGGTCAGCGGCCTCATAACTCACTCCTTCTGTTTGGATGCTGGGCTACACGCAGAAAATTAAAATGATTCTGCAATGAAGCAATTTGGAGTGATGTCCTACCCCAGGTCACCTTGCTGTTCTCCCTGAGAGGCAGTGCTACAATGAATTTATGCACCACTTGGAACTACACCCTCACAGTGGGTATGTCTTTTCACCTGTGATGTTAGGCTGGCAGTATTGAATTGCTGAAAGATTTGGAGATTGGCCACAGAAGTGCTTTCAGTTTCACAGCTCAGTCATTTTGAAATTGGATTTTTGTCATCCATTTATCAGAAAACTGAGTTTAAAAATAGGAAATGTTTGAGCGGATGTTAGAGTTGAGAGCGTAGTGTTTTTTTGAGAGCTCTGAACACATCAAATTCACTAATCAGATTTCCCTTTGTCTGTGTACAGGTTGGGTCTGTTTTACAGATTTATGGGAGAACGTGCATAGTAGTTACAAAGTTCTTTTTTTATTGCTTGTTTCTGTTGGGTATAGTTGTGTGTCCATTTCACTAAAAGCTGACAGCAGTACATTGGTTTATCAAACCTCTCCGTGCATCTAAATTTAAACTTCCCCCACAGCACATTTTGTATCCCTGTCACTAGGGGCATTTGATGTCGGTTATTTATTACCTTTACAGAATGACACCAGCAGCGTGTCCTTTGGCATTTGACATAGTGCACAGGCAGGCAAAAACAATTGAAGCTTAGGTGGCCATTAGGGCAGGAACCTAAGGACGGCGACGGGACAGACGCACCTCATTAAGTAGAAAAGAAATTCCTTTAAATGATGTGGTCTGGATCGATGTAGGGTTGTAAAGTTTGAAACCTTTCTCTTAGTGTTTCAGGTTTTAGCGCGCTAATAGCTGAAGTCATTGTATCAATGCAAACTTTCTGGAGCAAGATGGACATTAAATGAAGCTGATAATGTTAAGATAGACAGCATTCTGAGAATATAAGAAATTGGGTTGGACGGAGAAGAAAGTCTTATTTTGCATTCTGATAGTTGGATGAGAAGATTAATACGAGCCAAAAAAACAGTTTTTTTTGTTGTTGTATTTTTATAAAGTCCTCTGAATCCACTCTATTATCTTCGGATCACAACCAGCTTCTGTTAGATGGAAAATATTTGGCCCTCAGCATTTGTCATTTGTGATGTGGCAGGATTCAGTTTTTTTTCCTTCTGCCTTAGGACAGCACAGAGTGGTGCAGCAGGTTTCGTACAAAAGCCAGAGCCGCTCTGGAAGCATGTGCCCGAGAAGCTTTTTAGCGCCACGACAGAAACCTGCGGACGGCAGCCACCCGTCTATCGGCCCGGTCTGCTGCCGTCTGGTTCTTGAATCTGCTTCCGAACGGATGAGGCAGTGGCTCCGGCGGAGTGGCTGAGGGGGTGGTGTGTTCGTTGTCGGAGGAGTCTCTTTGCTGAGCCTGCACCGTGTTTACCTTCCTATTACCACCCGCTTTTCTGACCTGCTGACAGCTGCAGATGGAGAGATAGAAAGCTGGTGCTCTGAGCAGGACAGGTGAGAGAGGGAGGAGTCAGCAGCATTAGCCTCAGGACACAGAAATGGCAAGCTGTTAGCTGTCTGCCAGTCCATTTGAATGACTTTTCTGTTTTCTAAAGAAAGTACTGTTGCAGTGGCAACAGGTTTTTTGAGCGCACCGTTGATTACAGATATCAACAAGTGCATATTTTGAAAGCTGGCGTAACATCAGGACCCGGAGAAGATGGAAAATTGGCTTTAAATTCACCTCCTTTTCTGGACGATCACCTCTTTACTTTAGTGTTGCACAGGATTTCCCCTTTGGAGAGTTCTGTTGTGTGGTCCATTTATGGGGCAGGGGGCAAGCTACGCCCCACTCCTCACCCTGTGTTGATGAATGGGCTCTTTGTGGGCCTGTGGAAACAAGCTGAATCCCTCCATCTACCTCCATATGGCGAGGCCTATAGATCTCCTGTTGCCCGAGGCCACAGCGAACATCTGCCTCTTCCAGGGTGCACTTGAGTGGGGGCTCCTAGCACTTTAAAGCACCGACTGAACCGAGCACATGCTTCTGTCCATTATCAGCTTTCATTTTTGATATTACTCCATCATCAAAGCCAAAGTCAGCTGACATCCGATAGCTGTGCTTCATATGTCTATTTCTTGTACAGCTGCTTCGCGTCAGACTTGGCGGGTTGAGCTTGTTTGACCCGTATCAGAGAAGCTAGGTGTAAACAGCCAAATTCCATGGCTTTGCACTTTATTATTTAGTTTTTTTTTTTGTCCTGCTGATGCAGTGAAATGTGTAGAAGGATGACTCTGTCATGACTATGCTAATAGCCTCCATCTCTGGGAAACTGGTGCCGGTGCTCTGGTGATATTGGGAAAGAAATGATTCAACCAGACCTTCAACACTGACGGCATGCCTCCCCCACCTCACTTCTCCTTTATTTAGTGTAAATAGTGGTTTTAAAAAAAACAACAGATACTTCAGTTTAGAAACCAGATTTATTTTTTGTTCTTGTTTTTTGCGATGTTGGTCTCAGGTTGGACAGGTAGGGTAAGAAGGTGGATTCCTGTGGAAATAAAGCTCCTTAGAAACTTAATTAAGAGTGTCCTGTGCAAACGTTTATCCAGGCTCTCCACCCCATCAGGAGAGATAAAGGACCACTCCCATTGTCTGTGGTGTCCACTCTTCACCTGAGTGTGACTGATGGGTAAATGCCTACCTGCAACAAGGCTTGATTGATGGCTCAGACCAGGGCTGTGCCCTCAGGTAGCTCTGCTGGTTGGTTGCCATGGAGCTTGTGATGCACGAGGCACACCTCCTTGTTCAAATGTGAGCTTAACCTGGAATTCCCAATACCGTGGTCCCGATGTCATCTTGCTCAGGATGGGTCACTGCTGCAGGATCAGGGTTCATGTGAGGACCTGAAGACCAACTGAAAAACTCATCATGACTGTGCTGCGCTGCCCTGAGGGTTTTTTTCCCCTCAAAAATCCATTAAACAGATTTATGACAAATATTTCCATCGATAGCTACCTAGATTTCCACATCATTTAAAGAAGGCCACTTAAACTCTCCAGACTAAACTCCGTCAGACTAAAATTGACACTCGATGGTTAAAAAAAAGGAGAAAAGATATGAAAGTGTGAGGACTCATGGTTGCATTAAATGTCTAATTTAATTGTTAATTACTGTTAAATGAATTAAAAATCAACCTAAGCAATAAAAGTGGAATACACTGGACATTCTAGTTGTTCATCTCTGTGCTTTTCACAAATTGTGCAAGAAAAGCTTTACTCTCATGTTTGGAGTAAGAATGTGCTGTGGATTACCAAGGTGGATTTTCAATTTTTTTTCATATTATGCAACGTGGCAAAAATGGCTGAGGTTTGTTGAAATAACAATAAAGCAAATGTTTTTCCAGAGCAGACAGACACTCCATTGATGGGGTGTCAGACTAATTTCCTCTTGTCTGAGAGTGGGAGGCAGCCTAATCGACATTCCAATCGTAATCCAGCCATCTTTGAGCACTCAGAGGAAATATTCTTATGCCCCATTATCACCCATTGCGCCTGATCATGGCTAGAGACATTTAAAAACACTCAAATTTGCTTTGCTCTGAGGAAAATTGTATTTCCACTGCCACAGGTGCTCACACATGCACACTCAAAGCTTGCTCGTGGGGATGCCTGAGTTGTTCCAGCTTCAGGGCATCCATCACGTCTTTAGCGTTCTTTTTTTTTTTCTCTCTCTTTATAGATGTGAGAACTGTGTGGAGATGCTGTTTGTTCGCGGCTCGGGTAACTGCGTGCAGTGTGACACGCCTCTGAGGAAGAGCAACTTCCGTGTGCAGCTCTTTGAGGACCCGGCCGTAGACAAGGAGGTGGAGATCCGGAAGAAGGTGATGAAAATGTGAGTGAAGTGGACCACGAGGAGGAGAGGTGTGGTCCTGTTTGTTTATGTGTCAAACCATGCCTCCTCCCACTTTTTAAGCTGCCTTTGTCTTTCTCATTACGCTGTTTGTTTTTAGAGACAATGAGTCTCCCCAGGGGGGGCTCAAATGGGAAGGCTCTTTCCCTGCCAGGTTTTTACTTCGCAGCCCCTCCCTGCCCTCTGTCTCGCCCTCTTATCTGTGTTTCGACTGGCCTTTAATTGACATCTAAAGCATGTCTTATAAGGGCAGAAAGCAGCCGTGGTGTTATAAAACAGTTGATTTAATGTATACTAATAATGTCAGTGCATCTTTGGTCTTATCAGGTTTTGCTACTTACATCTCTTCTTTTCTTCCTCGGTAGATACAACAAGAGAGATTTTGACTTCCCCAGCCTGAGAGAATATAATGACTATCTGGAGCAAGTGGAGGACATAGGTAAGAGCAGCGGCCTGAAAGCCTCATCCCAAAACCAGCATTAGTGTATATACTCGACGCCAGGGTGTTTTACAGGCATTAGTCTGAGCCAGGCCAATCGATTAAAGACCACCCCCAGTAATGCTGAAACATCTGGTGTGGTAGCCTTCAGGGGACCTTAAGCGTGGGCGTATTAGGAGAGCTGGACAATATGTGATCAGTCAGCCTTCATTTTATTTAGCTGACTATTTATGAATATATGAATAAAGCAGCTTTAGTTTTAAGATTTTGTATTTGCTTCCCTTTTTAGTCTTCATAGGACATAAATTTGTTTTAAATGTTTGTGGTATAATTCCACTTCAACTTTCTTAATGTTGGCATTTTTCCACTGTGGATACAAGTTTACTCTAATTTAATTTGACCTGAAACATGGAGAGCCAAGAGAAAGGTTTGACCTCATACATATAAAGCTAAGCCTCATGAAGTAAACAGTACAAACCATTTTAAAGACCAAGCATTCAATTTTTTTTTATTCAATTTTTTTATGAATAGGGCTATGATACTTTAATTCACTGAATGACCAGACAGACATTTTCAAGGCTCTGCCCTTTAAATAAAATAAAACATTTTTAACTCTACATTGAAGCATCTGTGTGTTGACATTGACTGTTGTCTTATCAACGCAGTGTACAACCTGACAAACAACAATGAAGTGGAGAACACCAAATTGAGGATGGAGCAGTACCAGAGAGAAAACAGAGATGTCATCCAGAGGAATAAGGCGAAACTTGTGCGTGCTTTTGAGTGGATTTCGCTATGCGTGCTTGATGCCAGTGCTAAAATGCCATTTGAGCTCTAATAGAAAACTCTTTTGTGCATGAAGTTCACCTCTCGATGAATTCTGTGCAACGTCCTGTATTTTTTCCTCATCAGACGCGAGAGCAGGAAGAGCTGGAGGAGCTGCTGCTGCTGGAGCAGCAGAGCAACGAGCAGCGTAGGCTAGATGTTCTGCAGGAGGAGCAGAGGCAGCTGCAGGTCAAGCGGAAGAACAAACAAGCCCTGCTAGATGAACTGGTGAGGCACACGCTCACCTTTTATGTCCAAATGTACATAGACTGACAGGCATGCTGATGCAAAAGAGCCCATTGCATTAAGATAGCTATTCCATGTCTAATGCACATAGATTAACACACATATATGCACACACTCAGCTTGGGGGGGGGGGGGGGGGGGGGGGG